GTGCATGTGTGTGTGTGCGTGTGTGCATGTGTGTGTGTGTGTGTGTGTGTGTGTGTGTGTGTGTGTGTGTGTGTGTGTGTGTGTGTGTGTGTGTGTGTGTGTGTGTGTGTGTGTGTGTGTGTGTGTGTGTGTGTGTGATATGAGGTCTGATTGAAAGGCGGTGTGTCACGGAACAGAGAGCACACATGCTCCAGGGCTTGTTCACAGCGAGGGATACACTCAAGAGGGTATAGCGCACAGCGTGTGTGTGTGTGTGTGTGTGTGTGTGTGTGTGTGTGTGTGTGTGTGTGTGTGTGTGTGTGTGTGTGTGTGTGTGTGTGTGTGTGTGTGTGTGTGTGTGTGCGCGAGTGGAAGAGAGAGCGGGAGGGAGAGAAAGAAACACGGGGAAGGTTGGAGGGGGTGGGGCTGCAATTTTCTGGTTGTCGCGCCTCCAGCATATATCCTGGCCCCGGCACATTAACTTTTAAAAAGGGTTTCGTAGGGCTGTAGGTGTCTACATCACACACACATATAACGACCGCCTGGAGTCACACACTCACACACTCAGGCAGGGAGAAGAATAGAGACGGGGAGAGGAGAGAAAGGAGGGTAAGCGGGAGAAAATGAGCGGCAAACACTACTGAAGGATAAATGTTTGATGTGGGAAATTCCACTCGGCGGTTTTCACCTGAGCAATGATGCTCTACATTTATCTCCCAAAGTGGAAGCAGGGCCATTCACTGGGATCATTACCAGGGTTAATACGGGGCAAGAGACGGGTGTGTCCCCGCTGACGAGGGGAGTTGTGTCGCCGTCAACCTGATGATATGTTGTGTTAAATGAGATTGATGCGTGATCATGTGAAGTAGATTCATGATCCGCCGCTGACAGCAGGGAGGGGAAGATGTAGAAGATGGCTGACTGATAGAGAGATATAGGCTCATGTTTTATTCACAGATAACAGTATCTTACCTCTGCTCTCCCAAACTGCCCGGCTGGTAACAAAGTGCTGGGACAGGCCCATTTCTCTTCCTCTCCCTTCCTCCGTCTGCCTCCTTCCTCATCGCGCTCTCTGTTCTGCATTCACAGCATAATGTAAGACGTGAAATGTAATAAAAGTGACTGAACTCTTTGAGCCTTCACACTCGTGATCAATCCCCTTCCTCTTTGTGTGCTTGATTGTAGGAGGTGATCTTAAAGAGAGCAGCAGACCTTGTGGAGGCCTTGTACGGGATGCCTCACAATAACCAGGTAAACACTCGCACAAACATCCATATCTCTTTCCTCCAATTATGTGTGGGGTTCGGACCACTCGCAGCATCAAAGGTGGCGTCTCCTTCGGCCCCGCAGCACCCTGCTGTGTGCATGCGAGGCGTGGGACCGCACACACGTGGGAATAAGTCGGTGCTTTTATCCGCTCATGTGTTGGGGCGGAAAGGAGGAGATGTACAATGTAGAAGGAGGAGCATCAAGGGTGGATGTTCCCTTCTTCCCCTCTCCTGTTGATGACCAAAGCTCTTGTTTTTCTTCCTCAGGAGATGATTCTGAAACGAGCAGCAGATATTGCAGAGGCGCTCTACACGACGGTGCCACGGGGGCACAACCAGCTGTCCGGCCTCGGCAGCGGCTCCGTCCATGCTGGCATGATGGCAGTTAACTCCTTCACTGGGTCGGAGGTGGCACAAACAGCCAATCAGGGTAAGCGACAGAAAATTATTAACGTGTTATTATCATGGGAAATGTGTGTTTTGGTCAAAGGAAGATGGATTGTAAAGAAGCGGGAAAGGGAGATTTTTATTTGTCATATGGGAATTTCAGAGAGGGTGATTTAAGAGCAGGGAGCAAATAAGGAAGATTCTGAAAAAAGGGGGACAGGAGGAGGAGGCGGCGGTAAGAAACAGGGAACACTTGAGTCAAGGAAAGAACGAAGGTGAGAGAGTGAAGAATGGAGAAAAAGAGAGCCGCGGATGGAGTACGATGGAGAAATATGAGCGGGTCCTAGGGGTGTGTATATTAGACTGGGGTCGGCCCCTGTCTGACAGAGAGAGATGTGGGTGCAGTCAGCGGTGATTCATCACATGTATCAGGGGAAGGAGAGCCCAGTGGATGGACCAGCCTCTGGATATGTCTCAATACTTCCAATGAGCTTCCTCCGTCCTTCATCTTCATCTGGAAACATGCCTCAGATGTGGAGAAAACAACAGATATCAGCTACGCGACTACCGTTTCCTACTCATAACGGATGACGAAAGGGAATTGGTGGTACCTAATTATAAAGAAGGAGGCTACTACAGTGGAGAAGTGCCGCCCTGTTTGCACTAGAGAGCAGAAAATTCCTGATGTTCAATTCCAGCTGTTTTTTTCTCCGTTGTCAGCGCATTGGACCAGGGATGTATATTTATAGTTTCCATCTTGTCCTCCTTCTGTCTTGCTGCCCCCGTAAAGCATAAAGGAGAGAAAGGTCCTGTCAGAAATACTGGCTTCATTCTTTATAAATGACAGGCGATCTGCAGAGGCCTTTTAGTGTTAATTGCCTTATCGATATATCTCATTTTGAAGCGGAGCCAGTAAGGTGAAAGGCCTCTTGTTTCCGTAGTTGGATAGCAGCTAGTTCCCTCTCAAATCATATCCCTCCGCCATGTTCATTGCTTTCTCGCTCTGCCATATGCTGTCTTAAGAGTTTTCAGTATATTCTTTTGGCTTGTATAGCCTTGCCCATTAGCCGTGTCGGGAAAAGATTATTTGGCAATGCCGCATGTCCTCGTTTTGTTTTGTCTGCCATCTGCTAAATCTTAACACCTATTCTCTTTCTCTCCGTCTCCCCGTCCATAGGTTACAGTAGGAACACGAGCAGTGTCTCCCCTCATGGTTATGTCCCAAGCTCAACTCCGCAGCAGAGCGGCTACAGCACCACTAGCATGAATGGCTACTCTAACTCTGGCATGGCAACCTTGGGCACCTCGCCCAACTTCCTCAATGGATCTGCAGGCAACTCGCCCTATGCTAGTGAGTACAACACACACCACACCCGACACCTGAAACCAAGTGGGGGCCAAAAGATAAAACATGGGAAGCAAAAAAGATCAAGCCTTTTAAACATAAAAGAATAAGAATTTTGCAGGAGTTGAGAAAGGGGGGAGGAAATAAGGTGTGACACGAGGGGGGAAGTCATGCAGTTCAGCTGGCTCATCTGTTTCTTTAAGAACAGAGTGAAACGCAAATCCCCACTTTATTGGCCAGGGGAGCAGATCACCTAGCACCCCTCCTGCCGACACACCCCACCACCTCTGTTCACACACACACATTCACCCTCTACATTAAAGACCCTTGATTAAATCAATAAACTAATTGCTAGAGAAGCAATTCCATTTCAGCTCTTTGATTCCTGGGTGTTAACAAGTATTTTAACAGGCTCATCGGCCCCACACAGACACTTTCAATCAATGGCTCCTCGGCCTGCCTTTGTAGGTCCAATTTTCATTAATTGATTAGTTAGGCCCCTTCATAAATGGATTATGACTTTATTGCGAGGATTTGTCAGGAGGAGCCATAAAAGCTAAGTGTTGGATAATAACAACAATAAAGGCAGAAGCAGATATCAGAGGGCAGGTGAAATACGACTCGGTTGATTGTAAAATCACTGAAGAGGAAAATGCTCTTAGTATATTAGCAGACAAAAGACAAACCCAGCAGGATGAATGGGATGATGATTTTGGTCATTTCTATCAGTGGATGAGCCAAAATCCAGCCTTGTATAAAGCCTAAATATCAAAATGTTAGTTTTAATAATTTGTTTTTCCTTTTAAAAATCAATGTCTTATGTGTCCAATCTTAACACAATTAAATCCAGACCGCTAGGGTTGATTCGCAAATCTGAGAAGTTCCCAAACAAAAAGCTTTAAGGGAACAAAAGTCACTTGCTAATACTCAGCATCAAGTGTTATTTATCTCAAAATAACAAAGACATGGTTTACAAACAGTCACAGGTGGTTCTGCTTATAAAAAGATAAACTGGTCCCGTTAGCGAACAAGCAAGTTAGCTACTTTAGTACAAATGTACACTTAGTAAGCTACCTTGCTTCCTTCTCTCATTGAACTCATTGTTGAATGAACTATCTAGCTTCATTAGCTCGCCTAGCAGCCCACAGAGTAGCCCCGATGCCACCAAGCCTCTAAAACCACATATCTTTGCAAAAGTGTAGATTAATTTCACTGTGCCATTCTCTTGTGTGATCAGGCCTTTAGGCTTTCAGGTTATGATACTGATAATGAGGCTCAACATATGGCCGACAAACGAATAAACCATGTTCTAGGCGATAGCAAGGAAAACACAAAGAACCATTATCACGCCGATGTTATCTGCCCGTCTGCTCTAGCTGTTCATTGAAATCTCGCGGATGATTATCCGTGATGAAGGTGATGTGGGAGAGCCTTGTTTGCCCTGAAAACGAATTACGGGTACAGCACCCCGAGTTAGGGGGGAGATGTTTATCGAGCTGTTGCAACAGCATGAGTCATCAAAACAGAGGGAAATAATGCTTGGGGCTGTTTTCGATACAAGTTTCCAACTCAACACATTTTTTTCTTGGCTATGGAATATCTCATTGCCAGGTAGATGCTGAAAAAACAAAAGAAAAATGCAAACATTTTAAGTCTGAGCCAGCTGATCTGAGTCCAAAATATCACCCCCCTCCCCCATCCCACCATCATCCATTGACCAGTCCCTTTCTGTTCGTCCCGCCTGCCTGTCCTCTGCCCTCGGCCCTCTCTCTAACCTCGACTCTCCCCCCGCTCCATCTTCATCTCTCCTTCCCTGTCCTTCTTCCCCGACGTGCTCCCTACGACCCCCCTTAACCCCCCTATCCTGCCCGTCTCTCTTCTCTCAGTCGTTCCGTCCAGCCCCACCATGGCCTCGTCCACCAGCCTGCCCTCCAACTGCAGCGGCTCCTCCGGCATCTTCTCCTTCTCCCCCGCCAACATGGTGTCCGCCGCCGTCAAGCAGAAAAGCGCCTTCGCCCCCGTCGTGCGACCACAGAACTCCCCCCCGCCCACGTGCAACAACGCTACTAATAACGGCCTGCAAGGTAAGCCGCCGAACACCTTACATTAATTGACATGCTATCCAATGTATGTATATATCTCTGCATCAAGCTTTAATCCTGCTTTTCTTCACCTGCTTATGTTAACAATTTCTCACTTTTGTTCCCTCTTCTTCCTCCTCCTCACTCCCTGTTTCTCCTTCCACTCTCCTTCCTTACTTTAGATCAGTCTTTTGTGGATTCTAGCAAGTACTCATCAAACAACTCTCTGCAGGGCCTGGCCTTCTCCTGAAGTACGTTGATTTCCTCCTTCTTTGTTTCGTTCCGCGCGACACCCTCCCACACCGCTCATTTGCACCGGCAGCTCATCCTGCCCTGCCCTGCCCTTCCTTCTCCTTTCTGTTTTTATTTGTCACCCTCGACTTGTCAAGAGACAGCATGCCACGCCACATGTGTTCCATTTCCTGTTTTCACTTCCTGCTTCCTGCCTGTACTCCGGCGGAGGGGGCGGTTGTTATGCCACTGTGGGTCATTCTGTTTTCCCATATCCATCGAATGCAGCGCAGGGTCTGTTAGTCTAGGCAGGATGTTGTACGGTGTTGAGATCCTGAGAGAGAGAAATGATGGATGGGAATCTTTATCAGAGCCCCGAGCTAAGCACTTCCTCACTTCCTCTGTCGGCGTTGATGAGCGCTGACCACCGTGACCCAAAGGGCCATTGGCCACTGCGCACTGATCACATTGACACACACACACACACACACACACACACACACACACACACACACAGTTAATCCCAACAAGCCGGAGACACTTAGGAAATAACCAGAGAATTAGTGGATTGAAGAGAGAAGGGGGAATCAATAGTGAGCCAATATTTTATATGAAAAATTCCTCCCAGTGATGGCTTCTGTGTCAATCTACGGGGAAGGGATAGGGCGGAGGGGGAGGTGGGAGAGAGGAGGTAAAAACCGGGGAGCGAGTGGCAGGCAGAGCATGATATAAGAAAGTAAAAATGTGAATAAAGCTCTTGACTTCAATTTCCATGTTCAAGTGTTGAGCGTAATTTCATCGCCTCTGTCATCCCACATCACCGCGTCTCCCCCCCCCCCTCTCATGTCTGATTTATGCTCCATGCTGCACTATGGGCTCACACAATGTAACTGCTAACAATTAACAGCGACAGCTTTTGCATGCAGCTATTCAGAAAAAAAAACTGGAATGATGTTAGCCAAGTTAGCGGCGCGGCGGAGGAAAATGTTTTGATTTTGGGGGCCTCGGAACGAAGAGATAATGAGGGAGAGCGTCTTTGTTCGCCAGATGCTGGAGCACATTGCTGTTATGTGACTGTTGTGATGACAGATGAAACCCAGCAATCACATGACTGACCTCTCTCTCTCTCTCTCCCTTTCTCTTTCTTTCCTTACCCACAATCTTCCTCCCCCTCTTTTCCCACAAAACAGCGATTCCCGGGATGATCGTTCCACCCATGTAGAGGATCTGGGATGGCTGGAGATTTGGGAATGTTTGAGAGGGGGAAAAGTCACAGTAGCAGAGTCTGGCGAGTCTCTGTTGGGCTCCGGAGCTGAACTGAAGGAAGTGAAGATAAGACGCAGGACTCTGTTAAACTCAGGCCTTTCCATTGGGATTTCATCTGAAGGGATAAGGGGAGGAGAGGAACAAGGAACAATACGAACCTTTGTGATGTAATTTCCCTCTTGGTTGAATTAGTGTAGCTTCTCTGACACCGCGTTGGATGGAGTGTATAGAGACTGATAGTTTACCCACAGTGTGACACTGACCTCATGAAAAGAGCATTTATTTATCTTTTATGTTTATGCCTGTAAGGTTTGGGTTTGATTAGCGGAGGCCCCACGCCGTCTCGCAAACCGTAACTCACACAAACAACAGTGAAGAGTTGGTTTGGCCATGAAGTTTGCGTAACCTCTGTCACAATAGAAGATTCTTTCTTTAGTGAAACCACATAACAACACACTAGCCAAATGGAGCTAAGGTCAACAACAACACAAAAACAAAGAAATACAGAAAAGTCAACCTTCAACTTTGCTGCTAATTATCCCATTTATCTAAAAATGGCATAAGAAAATCGCCCTATGCTAATTCCACATCAGAAACCATGCCTTTCTTTTATTTTCCTCCCCGTTTGGTTTGTTTGTTTGTTTGAATTTTAATAAAACTGTGAGGATTGAGCTGTTTGCAATATGCTTTTCTGCTTGTCATGTGAAGAAAAAGGTGGTGGTTTAGCCAAAATTGACATTTTGTCTGAGATTTGAGTGAAAAGCCAGAGGATGTGTGTGTCCAGCCAGCACTGTACTGAAGGAGTCTAGCAAATATCAAATTAGAATAAATGCGTGATATATGTGATATATTTTTGTATATAAAAAAAATCATTTGATGTTTCTTTTTCTTTTTTTGCAATAGCTATAGTTTGAAATGTAAACATTAAAATGTCTTAAGGCAGCTTCTCAATACAGAAAATAGATATACTGTGTGTTGTCAATATCTCATCTGCTAAACATGACAAACATGGATTCGGATACAAAAAGGGGATTCTGTAAAATATCCTATAAATAATGTATTTATCCCTTGTATTTGTACATTGCCTCTCACCCTCGTTTAGTTGTATTGTGTAAGTTTAATACAGTAAGTGAACATATTTCACAGTGTTTTGTTTCGTTATTTACTGTTGTCTCTCACTATTTAAATGTGACTTTTTTTAAAATCTTTTTTGTTTTGTATGTTGATTGTTTTGCATTGGTGAACCATGCTTTCAGTTGTTGATTCAAAAACATGCCATTGTCTATTTTTGTATTATTTGTAAGTTAATAAAACATTTCAGTTTATTTCCTTATGAAAATGTTTATTGTATGGCAAAAAAGTAGCATCTTATTCAGAGTATTTGGTTGAAGTAGATTTTTTAAGAATATATACACACATTAATATATACTGTAAATCTATATCTTTTTGTTGGGGCTTTCAGATTGATCCTGTTCTTGAACTGATAATATGCATGGGTTCTTCTCTTGAGTGACACTTTCTTTTTGTGTGTGTGGAAACCAAGAGAACTAATTGCTCTGTGTTTTTCTTTCTTTGAGTTCTTCTTTTTCCCCCTCTGTTCTTTCTTTTCCTATGTTATTTATGCCTGCTTACATACTGTATCTATATACTCTTTCTTTTTTTCTGTCACTGTAATCTTTACCAGCAGTCTAGATGCCTTAACAATGCAAACCCATTCTTCATTCAATCACATGTACAGTTTTCTACCCTCACCACAATTGTCTATTGCCACAGAGGAATTCATGGGAACTTGGGGACAAAGCACAAACACACTGTTTGGTGGTGAAGCCAGACTAGAATACAAAGAGCCATAATTCAACAATCACACACACCCCGATGTACTATAATATACAGCAATGGCACGCTTTGAAGGAGGCGCGTCCCAGCAGTGCTCATTGCACTTTAGTGTTCACAGAAACACTTTTCTTTGGTAGCGATTATGTAGCGTTTTTTCAAATTAATTAAATGATTTCATCCGCATGTTGGTAATATTTCTCGTTAACCACTGGATCACAACAGTGTGACAACACAGAGCCGTTTTAATTGTAGTACAAAGGGGCGCACAGTGAGGAGAAACACTGTCACAGCACAATTTGAATCTCACACATGGAGTCGTAGGTCTGACTCTAGTATCTGACATCCGATCACCACAGTCCTGCTCTCCATGTATCAGCCTTTGGACAATACAGCTTCATTACAAGCTAAACAGAACAAGAACAAGTGAGGAAGCATGAAAGGGGGCTCCTTGGCCCCTCAGCCATTTCTGTAGTCTTTTCTTTGTGTCTGCCGTGTGTCTTCAAGCTGTTGCTGGACAGAGAATAGGGCTTTTCTCTCTGCTTTTCTTTCCTAGAGCCTGGTTTTGTTAAGTGGGTAGAAAGGAGCGTTTTAACAGAGGCGCCTGCTGACAGACGAGTGTTTTTCGGGCACTTGTGTGCTTGTGCTGGTCGGGGCCGGGCGGGAGGGGCAGCACCATATCTGTTTCAAATGAACTACAGAGGTCTGTTGTCATACAATGGCTTCTTTGTAAGCAAAGTTCCATCCTGATTATGAATATTGGTAATGGGTGACAGCGTTTTGTATTTAGGTAACAAACAATGAAAAAAAAAAAGATGCAAACCAAATAGCTGGTGTCTATTTTTCCCTCTGTTTTGTCTTTGACTGCAAACACACTGAACAGCTCTATGATATAAGGGAAGAAAAAAAAATTCTACTGTATAGATTGTTATTGTTTTTGATGAAAATTGAGCTGTAAGATAACTTTTGGACTCTCACAATGTTGAATTAAAGTTATCTCTTGTCTGTGACTTTGTCAGTTGTCATTTTTATTTTTTAAATACAAGTGCATATTCAACCATTGATGGCCTCCGGTATTTCTTGATGTGCGCTAATTCAAACAACTTCACACTGGACACTGCAATTTCTTATGTCAAAAAAATACAAACGACAAGTGTGAAACAAAGGAGAGACAAATATAGCGCAGACCCCTTCCATCTAATTTAGTTGCTTCATTTGGCATATGAAGATGGGGTTTCTGTGGCTTTTTGTCATATTTACATCTAAAAGCATCATCATCAGTTGACTAAGAATAGATGAGACCTGGCCATCACTAATACCACAGGTCAGAAAAAGGCCTGCGTCCCCTCCCCTACTGGGCTCCTGTCTCTAATTAATCTAATTCATTACTGCATTACTGATGGCATGGTGAACATGGTTAGCCTGACAAGTTTCCTCCTAAACATATTAGTTAATGATGATTCCAAGGTTATTAATTGCAAACGCACCAGCCCACCATAATTGAGTCATCATTTGCATACCCGGTCATCAGCAGAAAATTAATTAATTTTTTATTTTTTGCATATCTAATTTAGGGGCATGCGATTGGATTAGCCTGTGAAAATAGCGGATCCCGGGATTCTGCTGACCTCAGAGTGTTCCAGGGTCTCCACGGTAACTGGAGGCTTCCACAACCCCGAGGGGCGGGGGAGCGAGGCGACCTGGAAGTACTGATGAAATGAGGACTCGTAAACACTGTGTGTGTGTGAGTGTTTTTGCCTCCTTAATTGCCCAAAGGTTTGTAACTGCATCGGGCTTTTCTCCCATACATCTAATAACAGAGTTGATGCTTTGCTGACAAACACTAAAGTGGGTTGTGGTGTGCACGATTTAGCGGTAAGAGGTGGGATATTGAATTATGGAGGTTACACACAGGAAAAAATGAGTCCTGGAGCCTAATGTTTTTGAGTAGCGATCCGAGCACCGCTGCCATGTTGCACCGCGGCTCCAGGTTCCCGCTTTGCCCAAATGCGGCTGGCAACACAACACATTCACACTCTTAAATCATAAATACATATAGCCAAAAGGTGAGCCTATTTTGCTCTTTATTTCCAGCAGCTCTCCAGGCCCAGATAGACTGGTCAGTGTGGGAGGAGGACAATAGGAGTGGGAGGCCTCACTATCTGGGGACTTAACATTAGACACCATTCCTGGAGAGCTCTGGATACAGCCTTCGCACATCAAGAGAGGAGCTTCTCTGCTACTAGTACCCTAATGAAATATATTAATGCACATATTCCTCTTCACCATCTCCCTCTCCTCCTCCATTTTCTCATTCTCCTCCCTGCATGGACACATGAAGAGCGGAGAGGCGTGTTTGAAAGAAAAACAGGAGTCCCCATGGGGATCCCAGGATAAGGAAAGGAAAGAAATGGAGAGAGAGGAAGAGAGTGAGGGGGGGGGGGTAGTATTCAGAATGGAGGCAAACCTAGGCAGTGAGCAAAAGACAAGGAGAGGAGGGATGAATATTAATAATATTCTATGTCGGAAAGTAGTCACAATGGACATCATAGAGGGAAGAAAGTTCCATTCCCAGGCTTTGTTTAGTGTGTGTTTGCAGGTGCACACACTCGGTACAAGACAGAGCATATTTGAGTGCAGGCATACCTCGAAAGAGTGTGTGCACTCACATCCAGGGTTTGCGCTCTCGCTTACGAGGGTGTGTGGTCGTTTCCCACAGTAATTATCTCCACGACTGTGGGTGTCTGTCTATGATCTGTGTGGTACCTGTCAGAGGGAGCCCATGCTTTATATTCCCTGTAATTGCTGCAGCTAATTTACTGTGCGTTGGCCTAATGAGTAGGGAGGTGAGGGGCTGGGGTATGTAATGGATGTTAGAGAGATAGCGATGGAGAGATGGATTTCACCACTGCCGGCAGAGAGAGGGAGGAGGGGAGGAGGCTGACGATCTGCGTGTGTTAAGCAAGCATGTAGAACACTTATCTTTATTGTTCTACTAAAATGAGAAAAAAAACCACAAAAGATAAGCTATTTGCCCGCCCCTTCCTACTTTCTCTCTCCCCTCAGCTGACAGTACGGTTGCGACGGCAGCGAGCACATTAGACAAGCTTTTTGTTATGTTGATTAATGATAAAAGCAAATCCATAAATAATATAGATTATTTATTCCATTTATTCACATGCTAATTAAGCTGGAAGCAGATACCTCAGAGAGATGAGGTTTTTTCTCTCCTCATCTGTTCCAGTGCAGCCAGATAGACCAACTGACATTCAGACAGAGGCAGAGACAGTCCCACATTAATGTCATTCACACTTTGAAGCACCAATGGTATCTTGTGATGGGGACACGTCCACCCTTCATTTCTCCCTAATGAGGTCATGATAGAGGCCAGTGGTTTCCTGCACACACACACACACCCTCAGTGTTTGCTCTTGACGAGCGCTGGATTGACAGGGTCGTCTTTGATTGATGCACCGCGGTTCTTCCACATGTTCTACAGCTCACTCATTTAATTATGTTTCCTAAGCATCATTAAGTACCATTATATTCTATCATATTCTAATGAGAGAGGTGGCCGGTCGCAGGACGAGCTAATTGGTGATTAATGTTGTGTATCAGTGAGAGACAATGCAAGATTGGTCGTTTAATGACACAACACTGTATTTAAGTGCTGAATATGTACAAAAAAAACACAAGCAGAGAGGAGTGTGGGGGTGGGATTAGAAAAGTCCTGATTGAAAAAATCTGATATTGGCTCTTAAAGGTCTAATCTCCACTTGGCTTTCTACACACACACACACACTTCCTGTTTTATTCTGAATTGTTCACCTTTTAGCCACACTACACACACTTACTCAGATAATGCCTGAAACCGTCCTCGCAGGCATAACTCACCTGCTCCTCGAGATTAAACGCTAACTCAGTATTGATGCACTGCTTTGCAGGTAGGTACGCACACACACACCCCCACACACACAGACACAAACATCCTCATCTGGTATTGACATGCCGCGCGGCTGAAGGTGTTTCCATTTAAGGTCAGTCGATTGCCTTAAGTATGTAATGTTAGGAGGGGGGTCCGTAAACATGTCAAATTAGCAGTAATGAATGAGCAGGCACCGGCAGGGGGAACTGTCAGGGTGCACGCCCAGGACAATACATTACCCTGAGTTATCCTAGTCTGCCCTCGTCGAAACACACACACACACACTCATACGCACAAAGTAGTGGGACCCATTCAGTGGTCACACACTCGGCTTTAATGGGCTGTGTGGCTGATTGGTGTCCAAGACATGAAAAAAAAACCACTTGAAGTAGACACAGAGTATGGAAAGTTCAGGGTAAAAAATACGCTAAAATAAAGTTGTAAGATTGACATAACCACTGAGATGTAGAAAAAGAAATGAGTAAAACAAATGTATGAAAATAGATTGAGAGATAGAGAACCGGGCTAGAGGGAGAGAAAACAAACGGTGGTATTTATTTTTTCTTCTCAGTGTTGAAACAGGAAAAGGACCTCTGGTTTAATAAACCATGAATCCTTTCACAGAGGGTTTGTATGTTATTCTTCGGAGAAACAGATACGTGGGGAGGGAAGGGGGGACAGAGAGAGAAAGAGAAGCAGAGAGCAAGGGGGGGGATGCTCTGCAACCATATGAATTTCTCTCTCTCTCTCACACAAACACACACACACACACACACACCCACACACCCCTCAGCCCACTTCCAGGCTGTATGTTAGTTTTGGGTTGTAAGTGTGTGGGATGAAGGAGGGGGGTTACACATCCTCCTCGGACCAGCCTGAGAGAGAATGAGCATAAATGAGAAGTAAAAGATATACTTCCCATCTGTAAGTGATTAAATCCTTCTCCCCTTCCCCTCAGCGTTTGACAGTTTGTGAAAATATCTCTGTAACATATTCGCTCCGAGCACAAAGTCACCACAACAGTGTGTGTGTACATCGGTATGTGCCGCATGTGAGGGAAAATGTCCACTTGAATTCTTAAGCGTGTTTTTACTGTATGCACTGATAAATAAACATGTACACAAACATGAACCTACTGTCTCGGTATGTTGTCCCCCCACCCCCCCCACCTCTCCTCTCGCCCCCTCTCCTTCCTGTAACAAAGGTTACATTGATCATGTTTCTTAAAGAGACTCTGTATTTCCACATGGCCCTGCCTCTGATATGTTTTTCTTGGCAGGTCCAGCTTCTACGTTTGTCATTCACTCAGCATATTTTAACAAATTAGAAACATTAGAAACCAGGATCGCAACAATGTTTTGGTTTGGTTTCGAAACTCTTATGGTCCTCACATATTTCAAAACACGGGCGAATTGTTTGACAGCCGAGCGGAATAAAACCCTAAAACAACTTTTTCATTAGAAACACATGCTCGGTGAATTACAACCTTAGCATTATGTTAATGTGTGTTCGCACTGGCTCATTTGTTGTCGTGTGAATGGTGACACCATGTAAGTGTGTGTGTCTGCGTGCACATGTATGTCCCCTTACACATGCAGAGATGTGTAGGGGACCGTGTGGTTGCCAGTGTGTCTGTGTATGTAAGGGACAAAGGGACACAGTGCTCCACATAACAGCATTACAGATGGCTGTTGTGAGTGCTTGTGACAGTGAAAGCGAGTGGGTTCCCACTCCATACAGATGTACTCTGAGTGACCTTACAAACACAGTGGAACTAAAACAGGCCCCCTACCTCTCGCTCTCACTCTGGCACACACTGTCAATTCTCACTCAGCCCTTGCGGGGCACTAAAAGTTGTTTCCTGAGCCAGGAATACATCAAGAATATATAAGCGGGGAGCAGGAGAGATGCATAGCTAGGGTCCAGGAAAGCATAACTTGGACTAAGTAAATATTGGACTGAAGGATTAGTAGCATTTGCCACCTATAAAAGCAAGGCAGGTATGCCAGCCGGAGTTAACGACCACACGCTCTGACTTTACCCTGGATTGTTTTACCAACGAGCTGCTGTGGACAAAG